CCTCAACGTCCACATCGGTATTGTTTACATAGCAGAATATTAAAAGGATATTAAAATATCACAGGCAAACGAATATTGTTGTGTAAATAACGCCATGTGGGCGTTTTATTTGGTATCGTCACCCTGTATATATTGCATTTCAATTGTGCGCGTCCCAATGGCGCCTGACCAAGCGCATAGTGCAACTCCAAAGTCAATGACGATATTACCTTTTCGATGACCCCGCATAAATATTTCTCAAACCAGATAGTACAGACGATGATAAAACCTACTTATTTCGTGTTAATGTAAATAAATACAGAGGGTGACATTTACATTGGTTTAAACTTACCGTCCTGATTTTGCTTAACTTCAAATCTAAATTTCCCTGCAAAAAAAATGATGTAAATTGCTTCACAAGAATTGTTACGAAACTATTTCCTGAATGCAGTGTCTCGTGTTTTAGCACTCAGATTAATCTCTGCGCTAATATGAGCACTATACAATTACACATTGTAACGCAACTGTTTTACTGAATGCCAAAGTAAGATCAAAGTGCATGTAAAGTAGATGTCATATTGATTCTGGGTTTCCAAAGCAATGTAAATATACGGAAGTTTTGCTTTTCGTTTAACCGCTAAGTCCGGTTTGGGCGTTTATTTTCATTGTCTGATTCTGTTAGATTAAATCTTGGGCGTAGGTGTCAATTTCTGGATCTTACTTTCGTTAGTTGAACAACATGCGTTGCAGTGTCTTATATAACCGTTAAAATGTTAACTAAAGGAAAATGTGCTTGCTATACGTGAAAAAAAATTAGAATATCGCCTCCGTAATCAACTCGAAAACAGTGTTGAAAAAAAGCACAGCTTTCGTGCGAGTGTTTGACTTGGACTATAACAGTTACACGAATCTGATCGGCACACTGTGCATTATACGAGATGCTATTGTAATTATTGCACATGGTATAAATGGGGGGGATTTGCGCATAATGCCTGTTCTATCAGTAGGATCATAGGATTTGTGGACTCTAGGATGATCTACGGTTTAAAATTAAGTTTTTTCGTCTAGAATTATTTACTTAGTATTTGTAAAGTTTATCTTATGTTTTTCTCCGCTCGTTTGCGATAAGAGTCGTTATCGCGACGTAAGCGAATTAGTTTTAAGATAAGAAAACACAGAACAGAAAACATTAATTTGTTAAGGAAGTGGAGGCGGAAAGAGACATTGTTTTAAATAGCAGAGGAAGATGTTAATTGTTGCTTTTTTTGTGGTGGAATCGTAACAGTTTGTGGTGGTGTATTGCCGTATTTGAGTGTATTTGTAAAGACAGTCTGTCTTGTTTAATTGTAAAGTTGCGTAGAAGCTAGAGTGAATTTTCTTTACGTCATAATAAAAGTGAACGTTAATAATAATAATAATGGAATTTATTGTTCGACAGACACTGGGGTCCATAATTGAACAATATTCAATTACAAATTCACTTAGTGGCTAAGCTAAATTTGTTAATTTAAAAAAAATACACTGACAAAAACTGAATAATGACTATAATAAGTATTACTTGTTTTAAACGTGATAAATGAGAAGTGAGAAGTAAAGCAACTAAGACTACAAGTTAATTACTAACATATAAATATAATATGATGACTAAATAAACAAACCTAGTCATAAAGCAAGATTAGTATAGCGTTGCTCCTAGGTTACTAAATAATACTAATCATTACAATGTGTTTGTACTAAACGTAAAATGTACGCCTGAGAATTGAAGTTAATATCACAACTATGACCTACTGCATTGAAATTGAGAGCCATTGTAAAGAATGGACCTTTACGAAGGAGGTTAGTATTGGGAGTGGGGTACACAAAAGTTAGAGGACATCTTGTTCGATATGATGGGACCAAGAATTAATAATAAGCTGAGATAAAAGGTCCGGACAATATCGTTATCATTTTGAAGTTAAGTCGAGTTAAGCGGAGGCGTGTTTGTACGTTTATGAAAAAGTTTTTCCAGTACCCACTAAAGGGAACTTTTCCACCATCAAAGGCCCAGTACTATAATTGTAATTACATCAAGGTCAGTGTCATCTAAATCAGTGCAGTCAACGAAGTAAGAGGTTACGAAGTATCATCAATTTGTGTTTGTCATTTATTGCAACTGGCAGGTACGATCAGAAATTGCGGATAATTAACACTTTGACTTCTTTTAATTTAATTCGTTCTATCGATCGCGTGTTGTTTGATGTTTGTTTTTCTGGCCCTGAGCCCCTATTTTTCTTTAAGCTTATTTGATTAAGTTATGTCGGATAAAATGTGTTTCATCTGTAAATGGTTAGTTTTGTGATAAACACGTCCAAATTACGACTCAGGAGATAAGTTTTCATGTTAAATTTTTCCATAATGTACTCGGAACTACATCAGACGTTAAATTTCTTAGGTTTTGTTAGTAGTAGTGGTAGTGTTTAATTGAGCTAGCTGGACATGCGCTTGGTGGTTCTTTAGTGACCGTTTGGCATTGCACATATCATTTCTATTTGGCGCCCAACGTGGGGCACATGCATTTTTTATTTGGGGTCCAACGTGGAGCATGGTTTTATAATGTATGGTGGACAAATGATTGGAAAAAAGGGCGGAAAAGTGATAGCGTTTTTCATGGATTTGAAGGCAGCGTTTGACGTAGTGGAAAGGGAAAATGATGGAAGATGGAACAATAAACAAAAAGCTAAAGAACAGAATCAAGCAATTACATGGAGAGACAAGAATGAGGGTAAGGAGTCTAAAGTGTACTGGAAATGTACAGGACCGAGACAGGGATAGCCGAACAGCAACAAAGTAGTGGTGAAACGCCCCTGATAGTGCCTACCAGGGACGCATTCCCACGACAGTTGGCTAAATCCTGGGAGGGGCGGCGACGCCAGGCATATGTCAAAAGTATCAAGGATCAAGAGATATGGGGTAAATATTAAGACAGGGTCAAAATGGAGGAATCGTTGTGGGGAGAAGGATCCTGGCACAGTAACAATGGCAACAGAGGAAAAACAGATGAAGGAAGTGATGGGAAGATTGGAGAGGTACTGGGAAAGAAAAGGAGTGGTTTAAATGGCGAAAAATCGAAGATAATGAGATCTGGAAAGGGGGAAGAATGAAAAGGGAGGTATAATGGAAGTGGAGGGAGGAAAGAATATAGGAATAGGGTACTAGATGCAACGAAATAACGGGGAAAATGCTCAAATAAGGGAACTAAGAATAAAGGGAGAAGTGGCGATGACATAGGTGTGGAGAATACGAGAGAGCAAATTCGTGACTTCAAAATAAGAATACATTTCTGAAGTAATAGTGCAAGGGACCCTGATCTATAGAACGGAAGATAATGGGGGTGGAAGGAATGGAAACACAAAGAAGGTATTACAAATGGGTGTTAAGGTTAAACTGAAGAACACCAAATTACATATTAGAGAAGGAAACAAAAATGGAGAAGATAAGGATAGCGTCGGGGCGTAGGACGATAAGATTTTAGAAAAGCAGTAAAAGTGAATTAGTGAAAGAATGTTTGTCAACAAGGCTGAATACAAAAGGAAATGGGAGAACGAAGAAAAAATATTATTAAAGAAATGGATACGGATGGGCTGAGGTCGAAAGGAGGCGAGAAATAGGGGAAAGGCTGGAAGATGAACTTACAAAAAGGAACCCAGATAAACAAGCACAGCAACAGCGAGTGAAAATCGAAAACTCACGAGGAAACAGTGGCTACACAGAGCTGATAGAGGACTGGTGGCCGAAATAAAGGGAATATATCAAGATAATAGCGAGATTTAGATACTGAACGAGGAGGGAGGGAAGGGAAGTGGAAAAAAGAAGAAGGCATTTGTGGAGAGAAAGAGGAAGATATAGAGCACATGCTATGGGAATGTAAAGAGGTGCGGAAGCGAGAGCAGAGGTGAAGCGCCGGAAAAGGAGAGAAGCATGATTTTACAAAAAAAGGGAAGAAACACAAATTTTCTTTTTTGTGTACTTGATTTCTGGTACAGAGTTTTTACCAAATGGCGTTAATAAAGATCATTAATTATACGGTCGAAGTTGACAATTTTGTTTTATGTTTATGTCCTAACAAATCAAGGTGAGAAAATTTAAAATTTTAAACTTGATTTTAATTACATCAAATTTGAATGATCATTAGGTGTATGAATAGGGGGGCTATTGTAACCAAGGTCAGGTACTTATTTTGTTATTTATTTAATGTTCATTAGAATGGTTATGTCAACATCGATCGAACTAATTACATGTATACTTTATTATATTTGAAATCTTAGATGTTTTTATTTACTCCGTAGGAGACTTACCTATTACCAAGCGTTTTTTAGAATCCCTCTTCGATTTTAGGAGCACCCGTGGAAGATCCGAAACCGGTTCCTTTAATCTTAATGTTTCCTGATACCTAAAGTGACCATATTTAAAATAAGTCAATGACGGACAAGTAAGCGTTATAAAATTTTATTTCCATTTCAAAAACAATATACTTAAATAGGTACCTACAACTTTACTTTACCTAACTAAACAAACATAAGTATATATTGACAGTTTATTTTATAAATATTTTTCAGCAGAGTGAACTTTTTTTTGTGTTTCTCCGACCCTAAATGCCTTGTTATGTCACGTTTACCTCCATACCCGATAGAAAACACACTCTTACATTTTTCACAATATACTTCGGAATCCAATTTTGATTTTTTAATGAATGGGTATTCTTTTCCTATATCGTCGGAAAATTTGCACATTCTTTTTGGTTTTGGGCCCATATTAATCTACAAATTTATGAAAAATATTTGATAATTGCTTCTATTACTATTGTAACGTAAGTACTTACTTAATTGTTAACCAGAGGGAGAAGACCAATTAAACTAATCTTCGTTTTATTTTCACTTCAATTGGTTAATTTATCATAAAAATGAAATCGCACGTGTTTTAAAATTGCGCTTGGAAAGCCACACAAGTAATGAACCATGAACGCATCGTACTTGCCGTACCGATACCCCACCGCCCCACCCCGCCCTCTCACCTCTAAAGTATAGTAGTCAAGGTAAACGCGTACGAACCGCCTGCTCGTTAGATTCCGCGAAAAATGAAAGTTGTTCTTTTCCTTTTGTTTTGTGAAGCTATATTATTTTTTCTTTGATCCCTTAAATGCAGGACATTTTGCCGGACATACTATAATGTCGGACGATAAGTTTAAAAAACGGACAATCCGTCCTAATGACGGACGAATGGTCACTTTACTGATACCCACCGCAAGCGATAAATATTGAACTTTTCAATTTAAAAATAAACTTTATCACAATACCGTTCATAAATAGTTTTGTTGAGAGAGTAGCAGTTATCAGTTATTGACTTACTGCGCAACAGTGTACTATTTATTAACATAATGGAGCCAAACAAATTGTTTATAAGTGAAAATATAATAGTTGACAATAAATTTCTCAATGGCGGTATCTTAGTGAATAACGCGGGAAAAATAACAAAAGTCCTACGTCATCATGAAATCGCACCTTACAAAAAATGTCAAAATGTCGAAGTAAGTATCACACAAATGGTTTCGAGTAGAATATATTAGTTCAGTTGCAGATAATCGATGTAGGCACACATGTTATAATGCCAGGAATCGTGGACTCCCACGTTCACGTAAATGAGCCTGGAAGAACGGATTGGGAAGGCTACGAAACAGCCACAAGAGCTGCAGCAGCTGGAGGAGTTACAACAATTGTCGACATGCCCCTGTAGGTCTTGTACTTGTGTATGAACTTGCTTGAAACTCAAAATTACAGAAATTCAATACCACCAACCACCACATTGCACAATTTTAAACAAAAACTGAAAGCGGCCCAAGGGAAAGTTTACGTCGACGTAGCGTTTTGGGGAGGGGTCATACCTGGAAATCAAGTAATACTTGCAAATTAATCCTTTTTCTTATTTACAATTTCAGGATGACTTGATGGATTTGATAAACGCGGGGGTTGTCGGTTTTAAGTGTTTTATGTGCGAGTCGGGCGTTGAGGAATTTCCATGCGTAAACAAAGAGCAAATTGAGGTGGCTATGAAAATTTTGGAAAATACGGACAGTGTTTTGGCTGTAAGTTGTCGATTTCTGGGAATTTTCATATCATTCTGTTATAGTTTCATGCAGAACTTGATGGTAACGGTTCAGCAGCTTCAAATGGTGAGCAATTGATTTCAATCGAAAATTTTAATTTGTTTTCCAGATGATTCGTGTCAGTACAGTACCTTTTTGCGAACAAGACCTGCGTCAATGGAGATCAACGCTATTAAGCTTATTATCGAATTGGCGAGAAATTATAAGTAGGGGATGTCCACACGGTGTCCAAATTCAATGACTTAATTCTTTTAGCGTGAGAGTACACATTGTGCACCTATCTACTGCTGACGCTTTACCAATTATTGCTGAAGCTAAAAAAGATGGAGTTAAATTAACTGTCGAGACTTGTCACCACTACCTAAGCATAAAAAATGAAGACATTCCCGAGAAGGCGACCCAGTTTAAATGTACACCACCCATAAGGGATCTTACAAATCTTGTAAATTGCTTTGTTGTTTCAAACGCACAAATCGACATTGGGTTTTCAGAATTTACTATGGCAGGCCATCAAGAATGGATTGTTGGATATGGTGGTTTCTGATCACTCACCATGCACATCTGACTTAAAGTGTCTGGAATCCGGCAATTTCATGCAAGCTTGGGGAGGAATATCATCTTTGCAATTTGGTAACAAAAATATTGTGAAACTTGGTTTTGCATTAGTTCTAATAGATCTTTCCTTATTTTGGACGCAAGTAAAACAACATGGACTCTCCATCTTTGACATAAATAAGTATATGACTTACATGCCGGCGAAGTTAGTGGGATTGCATAACGTTAAGGGGCAGATAGCAACAAACTACGATGCCGATTTCGTTATTTGGGATCCTCATTCTATTATACATGTAGAACCAGAAATGATTCAGCACAAAAATAAGGTGGACTGATTTATTGTTTAGAAATACATAAGTATTATTCGTGATTTTAGATTACTCCATACTTAGGAAAAAATCTCTATGGTAAAGTATTGAAGACTGTAGTAAGAGGTCATGTGGTTTACGACAATGAGAAATTTGTGAATAAGCCAAATGGAAAATTAATTCAAAATGTGATTAAAGATGAAATTATTTAACATTCATATAATGCTCTTGAAACCCATGAAAGTGATGCAACCTGTACAACTGTGAACATTTAAAATGAAGTGAAACAACTTTATTACTCTTACCTATATTGTACATACATAATTTAGATTTCAACATACTAAAAGTATACAAGGATAAAATTACAGTTAACACATAAATGGATAGCAAAGGGTAGGATACGGTCAGCTAACCACCGGCCTCACAGGGGTATGCAATCACATGCATCCATTATCCGTTGATATGTCGATTCGTGCAAATTCCGGTTTGATTATTTCAGTGTCAAAGTGTATTTATATAGTCCGGAAGTATGGGAAATCAAGAGCGCTTTCACTTTGTCTTATTTTAGATACAACACAATGTTGTAATGCCCTTCGGGTTTTTTGAAATAATACCGGCTCGGATTAAGCTGGCATATATCCCTTAAAAGGAATCTTCCAAGCGATTCAAACAACCGCTGAATCTTTCGTCACGGAAAACGGTGACAATTCTGTTTGAATCAGGTCTGTCGACCTTTTGCACAAACCCGAAATGTCAGTGCAGTATTATGTAACGTGAAGTCCGCAGGTTTCTATAACCTACCACAATTCACACTATAAATAATACATGCAAGTATGGGCAACGGAACCAAATTATATAAAAATTAACACGTCTGGTGAGAAATTAATAATGAATTAAACGGAAAGCTATCGGGAAATAACGAAAAAATAATTCTGGTATCTGGCGGGAATATACTGGAATACGGTTGTGGTATGAATTTCTGGTCGGTTAGAGAGCTTTGGTAAAGGGTTTTAAATGTCATGAAAATTATACAATATAATTGACGGAATAGAAATGAAAGTTTTATTAAAGGAAAAATAAATAAATTTACAAATAATTGGAGTTAAATAACACTAGCGGGCGAAAGCAACGGCAGTCGGTGGCAACCTGAATGTGATGCCGGCGAAACAGGCGGACGGACGAACTCGCGCGCCACCCAAAGATTAAAATCTTGCTTTTGGCCAAGGTCGGCGGTTTCGGAGGTTTGGCACAGCCAATCAGTTAAAGAAACGGCTTAGTCCAAGAATTCGGCGGGCGGTAATGTCGAGGGAAGCACCTAAAACAGAATTACGGCACACGGATACAGTAGCGATCTTCCGCAAGCAACAAAGCATAAATTAATTAGCGGTAGTTACGGAAAATCAAATACAGAGATAGCAAACACTTACCTTTAAAATTAACGATACGGTGTCCTAAATGAAATTTCAAAACGTACGCGAGTACGGTCATTTCATGGAGGGATCGACGGTTTTTCCAACTGACCATGTTTTCGATGTAAACACATTCATAAATGAACACTTCTTTATTTACTTGTGCGGCCTGCGATAAACAAAAATCTGTAATTGGTTTTAAAATTTAGCTCCATTAAGCAACGTTCTAATGAAAGCACTCACGACTAGTTCGGACGCGATTTACTGCAACTCATTTATTTATTTATTATCCCTCTCTTGTTCTGGGCCCTCAACAGGCTTGCGCCCAACTACAGAGTGACTCGCTTAATGCTTTTTAGAGGTCCCTCAGGAGAAGGTCTTAAGTTACTCCGGTATTTACCTTACGAATTAGGAAAACTGCAGGAAAACCTAATTCGGAGTAGCCGGCAGAATGCACGAAACTGGTCTAAGGTAATTCCCATCTCTGCCACAGATGAAAAATTCACCTCAACCCAGGTTCGAACACCCGACCTCTGGATTTATAGTGAAACGCTCTACCCCTGAACCATAAAGCCGGTTTAATTAACTACTATTAATTACACGTACTTAATTTGCCGGATTAAATTTTCCAAATTCGGTAGCCCAGCAATGCCCATTGTTACCTGGAACTTCGGGTCGACGATAATGAAATAAATCACCCGATATTGCAGCTTTAATGTTCATTTCAGGAAATTAAAATCATCTTATAATTACTTAAAGAAGCTAACATTCCAAAATATTAATTTTTCCTTTTCTTCCCCATGCCGAGGGCTGTCGGTTTTGGTTGCTACAAAAATAATTTACACTCCACTGGCACAATAATAAAACTGATCAATTCTATACGGCAACTGGTTTTCTTATCGGCGGCTAAGACGGCACTAGGAATTAAAGCAGGTACTTCAACTTTCTGTCTCCAACTCCTGAGAGAGATAAATAGCTCCCTAACGAAGCGCCTCTAGATACCGGGTGGTTAATATAGCTGGTAACGATCATCTATGTACCCTGTGTTCATAAATTTCGGTATGAAAACTGAGTCCTTCGTTACATTATGGTCGATTCGACGCAACAGTAGGTTCAGTTCTGCTAATGCCTTACAGTTTTCTTACGAAAATCACGTTTGAGTGCATTTCTGTCAAAACGCAGAGCACTTGATACGAAAAAATGTATAGAGAACTAAAGTTTCCACAAAAAAGTTCACGAGTGCATATGCGTATTTTCAACCGTCAGCAATACAAGGCTTATAATACGTAAACGTGTTAATATGCACACATGCCGCCGCAGAGTTGTTTGTCCAAAATTACATGGTCTATCATTTGTGCAAAAAAGTTCATTCAAAAATTGTTGAAGATACGTAGGTATATGCTCTTGTGGACTTTTTTTTGTATAGAATTTAGTCCTCTACAATTTATCTTTTATTCATTTTTTCGTCTCTATTTCAGTTTACCCTTCGTTTCGAAATAAGGTGCTAACGTGATTTTGGTAGGAAAACTCCATAAGACCTCACTAGTGGTACATGGCACGCAGTCGGGGATTAAAGTAAATTTAAAATCATATTTTTAGCATATTTTCCAACTAAGTTGGGTGCGCTATTGCAGCCATTTTCACTGACCGTCTGTCCGAGGCGTTAACTACTCCTACAAGTTGTCCAGATATTTAGTTCGTTTTTCTTGCATTCGGTAGCGTATAGTTCTGGCACCTGATCCAAAGAAAGTCTTGACGATTGAACTGCGCAATGGCAACTTTCTTATTTATTAATATACTTTGTTAAAATTTTAACCACATATGCTTTTAGTAAAAGTAAACATATCGCATATTGTAAACATCAGATTAATGTGCGCATGGGCAGGATGTGCTGTATCAACTGTCTTATTTATCGAGATATCTTTTTGAAATTGTAATCACAGATGCTTCTGTTAATGTACAAACATTAGATGTTGCGCATGCGCAGTAGTGCCAATTTTCTTATTTATGAAGATATTTCTTTGAAATATTGCTGTAGTAGAGACAGGTAAACATATCTTGACACAAGCCCACCACGCAGTTTGGACAAACAGATGCTTGGAGCGTCAATATGTAGAAGAGGTCGCCAGTTTTTTTAATACACACCAAAGAGATT